TGTTTCATTGATTCTAAATTTCCTAAATCATTTTTGCCATTACCAAAATGAAAATTATTCGAAACAATAACAATATGTCACAAACATATTGTTTCTGCTGTTGGCAGCAGATGCTGCAAATTTGCAAGACAACTGCTACCATACTGCTGTTACACTATATGTATACTCGAGAATTAGTCTCTCGTCGTTCTTCAAGTAGCAATGCACGTATTGTAGTCTAAAAATCCTTTAATCATTGCCGACAGGCATGTGTCAAAATTCGCAGAGTGCGCGAATGCGAAAAAGTAAGGAAATATAATATGATACGTACAATGTAATTTCGAGATAAGGGGAGTAAATATAAAAGGTACTTGTCTTAATTATATTGTTGGCAACGTTTAGCGGCAGATCAAACGATATAAAGTGCACTGCTATTTTGTCAATGTATAATGACTGTATGCGTATAATGACTGATACTTTGGCAACAATGAAAGAGTAATCAAACTTGCAACCTTTGGGAGTTGTGTGTATATACCGCTTTCATTGTTATTGTCTCTCTCCCTTCTCTTTGCCAAACTCTTTTTTTTTAAAGAGAGAAACGTTTTCTGTATTAATTCTGTATATAAAGTATGAAATTATGAATATGCTTTTTTATCCTACTTTGAAGATTGATTCCTCTTCTCTTCTTAAATACATGTGCGCAGATATACTTTTGTACTCAAGTGAAGTATTCTTTTTTAGCCTCGTGCACTTCACTTTCTTTCGAGTTTATTTTATTACTCTTTTACTCTTTTTTTATTTAATGAGCTTCATTATTTAGAAAGAGTAAAAAAATATGGCCTTATAAAAAAGTAAATGTTCTTCTAGCATATACACTGAGAAAATGATTTACACAGAAAAAAATATGTGTTAAATTTGTTGTGTGCTTTTTAGATGGTATTGCTTTAACAAAATTTTTATGTTATTTTAACCCCATATTAAAAATGTATATTAATTTAACACAATCTAGTGTTATTTTAACACCAATCAAGTGTTAAAATCACACAGTGTTGGTTAAAAATGTTGCGTGTTGTTTTAACACTACTTTTAGTGTTAAAATAACACTTCTTTTTTACCCGTGAACTGGCAGAAGATCAAAATTGTCAAAAAATAATTTAAAACAAAATTCTTTTCAATTTTAGAAATTTTAATGCATTGCAAACAATCTAGATTGATGCTGGGATGTTGCTGACCAACATCGGAAAGAACAGAAAAATTTATTGTAACTTATAAGCACTTTTTAATAAAAGTAACCACAGCCGCCAACTAGCAGAAGATCAAAATTGTCAAAAAATAATTTAAACCTAAATTCTTTTCCATTTTAAAATTTTTAATGGATTGCAAACAATCTAGATTGATGCTGGGATGTTGCTGACCAACATCCGGAAGAATAAAAAAATTTATTGTAACTTTTAAGCACTTTTTAATAAAAGTAACCACAGCCGCCAACTAGCAGAAGATCAAAATTGTCAAAAAATAATTTAAAACTAAATTCTTTTCCATTTTAAAATTTTTAATGGATTGCAAACAATCTAGATTGATGCTGGGATGTTGCTGACCAACATCCGGAAGAATAAAAAAATTTATTGTAACTTTTAAGCACTTTTTAATAAAAGTAACCACAGCCGCCAACTAGCAGAAGATCAAAATTGTCAAAAAATAATTTAAAACTAAATTCTTTTCCATTTTAAAATTTTTAATGGATTGCAAACAATCTAGATTGATGCTGGGATGTTGCTGACCAACATCCGGAAGAATAAAAAAATTTATTGTAACTTTTAAGCACTTTTTAATAAAAGTAACCACAGCCGCCAACTGCCAGAAGATCAAAATTGTCAAAAAAAAATTTTAAACTAAATTCTTTTCAATTTTAATAATTTTAATGCATTGCAAACAATCTAGATTGTTGCTGAGATGTTGCTGAACAACATCCTGGAGGATAAAAAATTTAAAAAATCAAACATATGTTGTTTAAGTCGAGAAGAATATTTATATTTTGAGACTAGTGCGCATAATAATTGTGAATAAACTCTCGGCACTTGTTTATGAGACTTAAGCGTATAGTTTTTCTTTTTTTTTTTGTTCTTTAAGAAAAGGAGAAAAAAATGCAACATAGTGTATACTATTAACCAATACCAGTGCGCGTACTTATAGTTGCATTACGGTTTTCCTCTCACTTATAATATAAGTACAACGTGGCCCTGAAATCAGGAAGTATATACGAGTGATAAACGGTAGCTGTGCTTGAAAAATGTTACTTATTCAACAACCGGTTGTGTAAGAAATTCCTGTTTACTTCCATTTTTAAAAAGTCCTTGGTAGACTAGAAATAAAAGCAAATACTGTTTAAAAACATAACTGTCTCCCTCCCCCCTCTCTCTCACTCTCTTTCCGAATTGATTCAATTCCCTTTTTACTGAATTTTTAATTCTTCACAGAGTTTGAGACAAAAAAAAAAAAAGAATCAAAAGTGTTATAAAGTAACACTTTTGATTCTTTTAAAAAATTTTATTAGTTTTCGTAAATATAATTAAATATTTTCGAATAATTTCTTTAAATTTCTTGAAAATAATGCAATTCTTTAAGTATATAAAGAATTGTAATAGAAAATTTCTAAAATAAAATTAACAAAGAATTTTATCAACACTTTCCAGGATAATTGAAATTTTTCAGAAGAATTTTATTGTAATTTTTATTAAAATAATTTAACTCGTTGGAGAAATTATATTAAAAAATGGCATTCAAAATAATTGAATGTTTCAAAGAATTCTATCCGCAAAGTTTTAGTTTAATTTTATGAAAATTGTTTTGAAAATAATTGAATTTTTCCGAAGAATTTTACTATATTTATGAAAATAATTGAAATCTTGCTAAGAATTTTATTAAAATTTTCAAAAATAATTGACTTTTTTCAAGGAATTTAATTACAACTGTATAGTGAAAACTTTTCAAAAATAATTGAACTTTTGCGAAGAATTTTATCAATTTTTTAAAAATAATTGAATTCTTTTGAGAAATTTTACTGAAATTCTATTGAAAATAATTGAATTCTTTGGTGAATTTTCATTAAAATTGTTTTGAAAATAATTGAATTCCTCAAAAAGAATTTTACTATATTTGTATAAAAATCATAGAATTCTTTAAAAAAATATTATTATTTTTGTTAAGAATAATTAAATTCTTGCGAAAAATTTTATTATACAATTTTTTGAAAATATTTATTAGTAAAATTTACAAATTCAAAAAAGCAAAAAGTTAGTCACTAATTTAAATTAGTAAGCATTTTTACTAATTCCAATTTAGACAGTAATCTTTTTTAATTAATTAATTTTTTTTGTTCTTTATTCATTTTTAGCTATTTGATTTTTTTTAGTTATTTACTTTCTATATTTGAATTAGAAAAAATAATATTTACTAATTTGAATTAGTGACTGATTTCTCCCTTTTGAATTAGTAAATTTTGTTAATAAATTAGTAAAAATAGCGATTTAATAGTAAAATTTAATAATTTAAAAGCAAAAAGTCATTAGTAAACTTTACTAATAAATAGTAATTTCTACTAATTTATTAGTAAAAATTTACTAAATAACTTTTTTCTGGGTTAATTTATTTATTTACTTTTTTCTACTTAATAAAATATTATAATATGTGAATAATAAGTATAAATAACTACAAAATAATAAATAAATAAATAAAAAATTACTATAAATTAAGGAGTCAATTAGTTGCTCTCTGAATTTGAATTAGCAAAAATGTTTAATAGTTTGAATTAATGAACTTACTATTTATTAGTAAATTATACAAATAAATAGTAATTTTACCAATTTTACTATAATTTTACTAATTTTACTAATAAATTAGTAGAAATTACTATTCATTAGTGAAATTTACTAACTCAAAAGCAAAAAGTCAGTCACTAATTCAAATTAGTAAATATTTTTACTAAATCAAATTTAGAGAACTAATTCGGGTCCAAATGACCCAGTGTGTTAACGAAAGGTTATAATAAAAATATCTCTTAAAAACTAATTAAATATTCACTATAACAAAATAAAAAAAAAATCAACGAAAATGGGAAATTTTCCTCCCAAAAAAGTATGAGAAACGTTCCACTGCAAATCTCATTGTCCCTTGCTGAAACATTCTTCTTTTTTTTTGCATCGATTGTTTTATAAGTTTGTATCTACTTGTATATATGTATATATATTTCATACACATAATCCTTGATATATGCGAGGACACCGTTTGCGCAGAAGCAAAGCTCGAAAGTAGGAAACGTTCCTCGTGTTCCAAGTTGGCCAGTTATGAGTCAGTTACTTAGTGGAATAGTTCGTGACGAAGAAATATACTCTTTTCACAATATATATATGTATACATGTATGTATGTGGTTGAACAAAGAAAAGTGATTCCCCAACCCAATGATATATATACATGTAACATATAACAATAACTGTAAAGGGAAAATGAAGCTTTTCCATTATAACATAACCAACGCTAACAAATATTAGAATCACATCAATCATAAAAGGTAACAACAGTCTTATTAAAACCATTTTTTATTGAATTTTAGCCTCTAAAAATAATGTTTACTTTCAGCCTATAGTATTAAATCGTTTACACTTTCAGCTTAACTTTTGACTAAAATTGTTTGTTTACACTAAAATCGTTCTTTGAATTTTAGTCTGTAAAAAATAATTCTTACTTTCAGCTTAAATTTTGACTAAAATCGTTTACACTAAAACTATATGTTCTTGACCGAATTTTAGTCCTTAAAAAATAATTCTTACTTTCAGCTTAAATTTTGACTAAAATCGTTTACACTAAAACTATATCTTCTTGACCGAATTTTAGTCCTTAAAAAATAATTCTTACTTTCAGCTTAAATTTTGACTAAAATCGTTTACACTAAAACTATATCTTCTTGACCGAATTTTAGTCCTTAAAAAATAATTCTTACTTTCAGCTTAAATTTTGACTAAAACCATTTACACTAAAAATTGTTTTTCGACTAAATTTTAGCCAAAAATTTAATTTTATAATTAAAGTCGGTATTTTTACTGCTAAGACTGAAACTATATTATAGTTTGAAACATTTTGATATATGATTTTAAGAAGCAGGTTTCTGATTTTGTTTTTTCTGTGTAATTTTTGCGCACGTGTTTTTAACATAATTGTTTGGTTATCAACAAAAGCAGGAATAAACAAGTGACTATTTTTGTTATTAAAATTTTTTTGGAACAAAATATGTTTATGGTAATATAATATTGTTAACGATAAATACCTTTGGTCTGATGAACTCCTATATAGGCAATTGATTGAATTTCTCTTCGCGGTTTGCATCTCTTTTTCTTGTGTGTCAATTCATGGAAAATCTTTAAAGAGGACTAATTTCTTATCAAAGAATTCTTTATTCGCTCTTTTTCTAATTTTATTTTTTACTTTTAAAAACAAATTGTATGAAAAGTATATGTATTTGCTTTACTCCTTGAAATAATGTTTGCAGTTCAGAAAAACAGTTCTTCCCTTTTCGCAAGCCGTCATCTGGAAAAATACAAAATCAACAAACACATATTATTAACATTTCTATAAATTCTTTATTCCTTATAAAAGTAAATTTTTTCCGTATGATTTTCTGGTAGATTAATATTTTAATTATTCTTTATAATATTGTTTGGTAATTCTTAATGAATTTGGTATCAAATTTGACAGAAATTTTGGTATTTGATGCAAACTTGGATATCAATTAGGTTCTAATTTTAGTATAATTTTTTTATCTAAATTTTGCTGCCAATTTTAACGAAGATTATGTCATCAATTTGGTTCAAATTTTGGTACCAATTTCAACCAAATTATAGTGTCATATTTGACTCAAATTTTGGAACCGTTTTGAACCAAATTGGTATCATATGATACCAAAATTAAATTTAAATTTTGATCCAATTTATACCAATTTAATCGAAATTGGTATCATATTTGACTCAAATTTTTGTACCAAATTTAGATCAAATTTTACTTAAATTTTATTCAAATTTTATACTCAAATTTCGGTACCATTTTTGACCCAAATTTTGAATATCAATTTGATCCAAATTGACATCAGATTTGACCCAAATTTCGGTACCAATTTAATGGAAACTTATATACTTTTCGGTACCAAAGTCATTTCAAATTTTTTGGTAACATTTTTGATTCAATATTTGCAACCACTTTGATCCAATCTAATCAATTTGACCCAAGCTTCGATACCAATTGCGGGCAAAAAAATATTGGTACCAATTTGATCCAAACTTTGGTACAAATTGTGGGCAAACAATTTTGGTATCAATTTTGATCCATTTGGTATCAATTTAAATATTTATAAAAATTAATTTAATTGTTGACAAGAATTTTAAAAAAATTTTTAAATAATTCATTTCATTTGAATAATTTTATGCAAATTCTAATTTGAATAATTGAATTCCATAAGAAATTTTTATTATTCATGAAAAGAATTGAATTTTTACTAAAAATTTTACAAACCATTTTTTAAATAATTGAATTCTGTTTGGAAATTTGATGAAAATAGTAGATATTGAAAATCATTGAATTGCGAAAAGTTTTTAAAAATAATTAAATTTTACAAAGAATTCTATTCAAATTTTTGACAATAATTGAATGTCTGTGTGGAATTTTACTAAATTTTTTTTTTGAAAATAATTGAATGAATGATTATATTAGAATTTTTTAAAATAATTGAATTTCCAAGAAAAAATGTTTTACTTTTAAAGATAATTGAATTCTTGTGATGAATACACACTAAAAAAAAAGTTTTACTTTTAGCCTGTTTTCGAGGCTGAATTTAAGGTGTAAACGGAGTCAGACTTTTTTTTTCCTGTGTATTGTTATTTATGAAAATAATTGAATTTTGCAAAGGATTTTATTAAAATGCCTCATCAGAATAATTGAATTTTTGGGAATAATTTTGTTAATTTTCGACATAATTGAATTCTTGGGAAGAATTTCATTAAAATCTAAAAAAAATAATTGAATTATTTTAAAAAAATTGAATTAAAATTGTATTTTAAAATAATTGATTTCTTTCGAACAATTTTATTAAAATATTTGAAAATAGTTGAATTCCTGCAAAGTATTTTATTACTTTTTAAAAAAATTGAATTCCTGTAATGAATTTTTATATATTTATGAAAATAATTGAATTTTAAAAAAGAATTTTATTAAAATTCCTTAAAATAATTGATTTTATGGAGAGAATTACTTACAAAAAATTTGAAAATAATTGACTTCCTTCTACGAATTTAAAAGTTATTTATGAAAATAATTGAATCATTGCAGCGAATTTTATTATTTTATTGAATAATTGAATGGTTCTTAAATTCCAATTCTTTCGTCAAGTTTTAATAAAATTTTTAAGAATAATATTATTGAATTTTTCGAGGAATTTACTTAAAATTCTATTAAAAATATTAAAAATTCTGCCTTGAAAATAATTGAATTCCTAAATGAAAACTTATATTTATGAAAATAATTGAACGTCTTCGTAGAATTGTATCAAAATTTTATTTAACAATTAAAATTTTTTGATAAATTCTATGAAAGATATTGATAATCATTGAATTACAAAAAACTTTTGAAAATAATAGAAATTTTGCAAAAAATTTTATTTAAATTTTTTGAAAATAATTTAATTATTATTTAAAAAAAAAATTGAATTAAAATTGTATTTAAAAGATTTCTTTCGAACAATTTTATAAAAATATTTGAAAATAATTGAATTCCTGTGAAAAATTATAATATTTTTGTAAATAATTGAATTCCTCCAAAGAATTAAAAGAAAAAATTTTTAATAATTTTTTTTCGAGGAATTGAAATTAAATTCTTAAGAATAATTACCTCGAGCAATTCCTGTAAAATTGTATTAATAATTGAAATCCTGCGATGAATTTTATTATTTATGAAAACAGAAAATAATTGAATAGTTGCTAAGAATTTTATTCAAATTTTCAAAAATAATTGAATTCCTTGAGAAGAATTTTATTATTTATGAAAATAATTGAAAAATTTTATTAAAAATCTTTAAAAAGAATTGAAAATTTCGGTGAAAAATTGTTTATTTTTGAAAATAATAGAATTCTTCGTAAGAATTTTAAACATTGTTTTAAATAATCAGTTTTTGTTGAATAATAAAAATTTGAAAAATTTATTTTAAATAATTGAATTCTTGTAGAAAATTTTATTAGTGAAAAGAATTGAATTTTTCTATTAAATTAATTTAAAATAGTATTCTAAAAATAATTGAAATTCTTCGATGAGTTTTATTATCTATTAAAATAAGTGAATTTAGGATGAATTTTATTATTTATGAAAATAATTCTATTTAGGATGAATTTTATCAATTTTTTTTCTAATATAATTTTTATCTAATAAATAAATAAATAAATAAATAAATAAATAAATAAATAAATAATTGAATTCTTTTGCGAAATTTTATAAAAATACTAGATATTGAAAATAATTGAATTTCGACTATTTTTCGAAAATAATTGAATTGTTTTAAAGAATTTGATTATAATTTTTGAGAATATTTTTTTGATTCCTTATATTAGAGAATTTAAAAATTTAAATTAAAAAAAAAATTTTTTTTTTATTTTTTTTTTAAATTTTATTTAGTGAAAATTCTCAAAAAAAAAAAAAAAAAAACAGAAATAGTAGCTTTTAGTTGCTGAAATCTAAAAATAGTAGCATAACGTGAAAAAAGTAGTAATAAATAGTAGGTTTGAATTTTTTGAATTAGAAATTAAAATTAAAAAAAAAAATTTTAATTTAAAATTGTTAAAATACAAGTGAAGCGGAGTCATTAAATAAAAGAAGATATATACAGTTTCTTCGGAAAAATGAAGAAAAATCTAAAAGAAGTGAAATAAAAACTCGCGTATTGAGTTAAAAGTCGAGTTCTCGCGCTTGGGCTTAATGTTAAGCGCGAGTTACATAATATTACGATTACAGATAAGAGGTGGGAGGTGCTTATCTTTGCTTACGGCTGTCACAGCAATTACGCAGCACTAATAATGTCCCATCAATCTGTGCCATGAATGTCTCCATAATGCGGTGGACGTAACAACTTGAGAAATACACTATTCACACATATATATACAATTCATTTATATTCTCTCTCCCTCTCTCTCCTACTACTCTCCATATTCAATTTTCTCTATTCTACAATAATTTTTCTCTCTCTCTATATTCAATTTTTTTCTATTCCACAATTTTTTTTTTCTCTACAAATATATTCAATTTTCTCTCTATATGAATTTTCTCCTTTTCATTTTTTTTCCTTTTCGTATACATTAAAATATTATTTATAGAGAAATATTCCTCAATAGTCAAATAACAAATAAAGAAGCACATAAAAGTAAAATCTAACATTTAAAAATTTTATCTCCTATTCTCTAATTGCAAAATTACTATTAAATAAAAATATTAGAGACGTGGTGAAAAAATATATTTTCATTTATATTTATATACATATATAACACTGAAAAAAAATTTATTTGATTCAAATAATTTTAATTGATTATCAATTAAATATTATCAAATAATATTTATTGAAGTCAATTCAATAATAACAATTAAATAATTAAATAAAAAAAAAATTTTGTTTTTAATTAAAAAAAAATTTTTTTTAAATTCAAATTTTTTTTTTAATTTATTCAATTAATTAATTAATTATTAATAATTAAATTAATTTATTAATTTAATAATTTAGTTAAATAACCAATATTTGAGGAAAATATGAACGAAACCATTTAATTGACTCGAATAAATATTATTTGATTCAAAGTAAATATTTAATTAACACTATAGTCAATTAATCGTTTATTTGAATCAAATCAAATTTTTTTTCATGTGTAAAAAATAGTTTTTTTTGTGCCAATGTTTCATCGTGAAATTATATAGTATAGATCGTTCGTGTAATAAATGCATTGTTCATGTTCACTCGTATATAAATCGAAGTTTTTTTTTTTTTTAAATACACAACAAGGACGCACAAAAGAATATATAATAGACGATGATTATTAATGCCCGCGCGATCGAAAAGCTCAAAGACGATTAAACTTATAAAATGCGTGGAGAAGACATGATACATGATTTATTAGAATGGATCAAATTTATTATTCACATTTATAGTTTAGTGCGCTTTGAATTTATTTTTAATTCAAACTGATTCATATATTTATAATCCGCATAATATAGCTATTCGTTTGTGCCATTTTTTTCATATATTGATTCATTTTGGTGAATAATAATATTAATAAAAAAAATATATATAGTATTCTGCTCGATTATTTTATTTGTCATTTTTTTTTCACTTTTAGGTCATGTTAAAATGAATATATAGTTTTTTTCTTGTAAATAATTAAATTATAGTCAAATTTGACTACTTTTTAATTTATTTATTAATATAATTAAATTACTAATGATGGAATAAATAATTTACTGATTCAAAAGGAAAAAATTAGTAGAAATTATTTTTAAATATTTTT